TGCCCAGGGCTTCTAGATTAGTAAAACAACACACCTTTTTTTTTTTGAACCGTTTTAACAGGCAGAGAAGAGTGTGATTTTAGACCATCTTCCTCTTTCCTGTTTCTTGTTCCCTGCATCTTTGTCGTCAGTCACGCTCCATTTCAAACTTACTCTGGCAATTAGATTAAGCTATGGATAATTGGTCCTTTTAGTCACGATGATCTGGTAATCAGATTTTATATTTTATTTTTTATAAAACTAATTACAAAGTCAGGTTCAGAAGAAACGTGCCATTGATTCCTGGTTACCAAGTACCAGCAATGTACTATTAAACATCTTCAGAACTTGCGTCCTGGGTTCCCAAAGACATTTTGATAGCTATTCCAGGAAACAGGTTGATGGTTCTGATAGGCCTTAGGTCTGACCCAATAAAATGTTTCATATTTTTAGCTTATGTGAAGCCAATATAGCTAGTTCATATTTTAAAACATTATTTGAAGCCAGGTTAAACTAGATGCCTATGTTAATATTGTCCTTTATCAATCTAAACTGAAGAATGCAACCCATTATCTTACTATAGTGCTTATTAGTCACTGTTTCTAGATGTTACCAAGCCACGTGGATAGGTCGTGAAAGATTAAGCCATGTATTATTAGGACTCAGTCAAAAAGAATCTTTTGAAAAAGAAATGGGATTTTCTAATCTTACAGAAGTTAGCTGCTAGGCCATTTTTTCATCCCTGACTTGAGCCTGGAGAAATGACTATGTTTCATTTTCTTTGTACCAGAATTATAGTTGAAATTTTTGCCCTAACACTATTTCTTTTTTTCCACAAGCAGTGTCAGAAAGACAATGATTTAATTTGCTGTTTATCTGTTCTTTTGTTAAATATGTTTGCAATAATTTGGATAATGCTAATAGAAAACTGGCTTTCTATTCCTTAGTCTGGCATATCCTAGTTTTTTAAATAAAATCTTCCACTCTGCTCTAAGAAAAACAGTGACTTAAGATAGAGGCTGGCTGGAGATTCTGGGAATAGCATCTGAAGGATAGTAAGTTGAAGAAAGCTGTTCTATCCAAAGGAGAATAGGTATCTTATTCCATCAGACCCACATGAAATCCTCTAAAAGAAGTTCAGAAATGGCTTGTTTTTCTACCTAGCAGAAAGTTTTTTTTTTTTAATTAACACATTTTGGTCTTCCTACTGCTGTGATGGCAAACCTATGGCACACGTGCCAGAAGTGGCACGCAGAACCATCTCTCTGAGCATGCCAGCAGTCACCAGTTGATCTTTTGGGTTCTGGCACATGCATGCATGCCGGCCAGCTGGTCTTCACGTGCCCGGGAGTGCCGGAAACTAGAAGAGCAGCTCCCTGGCATACATGCACGCACTGGGAAGCTGAACTTTTGGTTTCCAGTGCACGCAAGCCTGCTGGCCAGCTGGTCTTCGCGCATACATGCACGCCAGAAACCAGATGACCAGGTGGCCGGCACATATGCTGGGGAGTTGCTCTTCCAGTTTCCAGTGTTTTGTTGTGCGCATGTGCATGTTCCCATTTCAGCACTCGGTGCCGAAAAGTTCACCAACACTGTCTTACTGTATTCATCAGTGACAAACTTCATCAGCAGCTATTACTCAGTTATAAGGAGAAAAACACTGGAGTTTTTTAATATTGTTTTTAAAAACTATAAGAGTTAAGCACAAGGAAGTAGGGAGGTATTCATATACTTTATAGTACCAGTTTTGCTAAGTAAGTAAACGATACATATTTAGTCCCCAAGAGTGCATTATGCCGGCCAGTTCAGCAACTGTTTGATCAACTTTTAATTTTTGATATGAGATTCTTACTTAACTCATAGTTTAAAACCCTAAGTCATAAAATAACGAGTCAGAATTAACATAATGAAACTTAGTACTAACCAAAAAGACTGTTTATAACAATACGACAAATAATGCAGTAGCAGTGGGCCGCCAATAAACATTTTGTTACAATGCCCAGCATTTCTCCAAGGATCAGAGAGCATGCTGGCCATATAAAATTTGTAGATCTTGTTGATATGGTTGAAGAACACTGAGCTAGATTATAGATCCAAATCATTTATTCCAAACTTCAGTTTCTAAATATCAAGGGAGCCATCATACCAAGGCCTTTTAATATTTATCAATGCACTAAATTACTCATAAAAGCATAGTGTTTGATTCTCGTAATGGACATTTTATTGTTCTGCATCTCTTCCCATAAAGTGCTCTGAGAGAATTAAATATCAAAAAGTTTTGTTCATGCAATGTTCTTTTTTAAAAATACATGAAATCTTAGTGATTGGTGATTTAAAACTATTTAAAGCATTTTGAATAATTCAATAATTTAAATTGGCTCTAACCCAAGCCATACAACTGTAGCTGGGGTGCACAATTGGCACTTCCCAGTCAGACAGGATGAAAACCTTAGGATTACAAAGTAGTTACACTTCTCTTTAAACATTTAAATCAAACAAATGAATGGAACACTTACCGTATCTTGGTTTTCCGACATAAGAATAAGGCAAGTCAGAATTATCTTCTGCAAATGGGATCAACAATGCTTGGAGGAAAGATTGTAAGAGTAGTAAGAACCCTTGGCCTTTTCAGTTTCTTAGTGGCAAAGACAGATTATGTTGCCACACTGAAGAGTTCCATAGCAAGCTTGCATCATTAGATGCTTCTCTTTCCACCCCACTTCAGTAGAAGGAGATACAGACAGTGAATATCTGGTGCCAATTTGTCAGTTTAGCAATAAAGAAATAGCAAATTGTGGGTTGAGAAGAAAACAAAAGTGAACCAGGAAAATTATTTTGAAGTTTGTGTATGCATCCACCAAGAAAAGACAGTAAGTTCATTTATAGGGCCATGTTAAACCTACAGTTTGCATCCAGATCAGCTGTGTCCATGCCCGACAATAATTCTCCATTTGCTGAATCAAATCTTGCTATTTCTCAACTCCATGTTTTTGTATATATTTCTGGGTTTTGTGGCCTTTTCTGACCTAGTTCCTCTCATGTATGCTAGATTAAATTTTTATAACTCATAGTGGTGTTAACTGGATGTATTGTTAAGGGTTCTAGTCTAAAATTTCTGGAGGACAAGGTAGAGAAGATACTTTATAATATAATTCTCTTGAACAAGTTAATTGGTTATGTAAATATAATTCATTATATTTAGTAAATGTTTAATAAATCTTATGAGTAGATTTTTGCTATTAAATCAATAAATTAACTGTCTTTAACTTATACTTACCAGAATTAAATTATACATTACACTAGTATCTCTCATACTTAATTGCAAGTTCTCTTTTATATTATCTATATCTTTCCTTGCAAATATTGTTTTTTTCCCCAAAATACTTCTCCCAAGCTTCTTATTTCCAGAACTGAAATTAGCTTGTAGGGAGTGGATATTAAGGGGAAAAAATAAGAATGTTGAGCAAGTGATGAGTTAAGCACATCCACATATAAACCATAGATTGACATTTCAGCAGGACATGACAGATACAAGAAAACTGTCTTCATTGGTATTTGTTGGTGGATTCCATTTTGATAGAGCCCTATTGAATCTGTGAATAATTTCTCTTACATCCATACTCTAATGTGTAGTGAGGCATCCACAATATTTTTGTGTATTCTAACCTTGCTGATAAAGTTTTATTTATTTTTTTCCATAATGGTGTCAAGAAAGCCATAGGAAACAAGATGAAAACATTTGGGTTTCTTTTCATAATGCAAACTTTCCTGTGTTTAAGATAGTACTCCCTGGCATTCTTGTGTGCTTCTCAATAAAAAGGATCATTTCTTTGTTGAGTAAATGTTGCAATCTCACAGTTAGAATACCTAAAAGCTTTAGTCTTCAGCAGCTGTTTGGGCTCCTCTGCTCCACACCTCTTGTGAGATTATTATACACTGTGTACATCAAGAGTAATAGCACATTAGGTGGTGTTTAGACTAAACAGCCACAAAGGAGGAGGAAGAGGAGGAGGAGGAGGAGGAGGAGGAGGAGGAGGAGGAAGAGGAAGAGGAAGAAGAAGAAGAAGAAGAAGAAGAAGAAGAAGAAGAAGAAGAAGAAGAAGAAGAAGAAGAAG